TGCATAATTACCTAGGGCTGCACGGACATATTGCAGCTGTAGCATACGTCTTTGCCATGTGGTGGAACGATATATACGACAGGTTGTTTATTCATATTATATTTAGCCTATGTCAAGATTTTTTAAATTTCGGCTCCACGAACCCCCGTATTATTTACCAGTGACAGCGAACCCCTTAACATAATTAAATTAGTTCTTGGAGGTAATAAGGTTTTTATTTTATATGTAACAAAAACAGTACCAAAAACAGAACAAAATAAATATTTAATGGGGATCCCATACAACAAACGTATTTTTTTTCTTTTGCTCGATATTTATAACAACAGGTAGAAGATTAAAATATTTACAGAATCTGTGTTTATAAGTATAGTAACTTATAAAATAAATAATTAAATTAAAAGTAAACAAATATTTAAGGGGGCTCCCATACATGTAACATGATTTTTTTGTTCGTTTCCGGTACGGAACTTATCGTGTGCGAGTCCGTCCGTCTCGCACTTGTTTGGTCACGGAGATCACGACTTAAGCTGTCAGTCGAGTTAGTGAATAGGTCTGCAGGCCGGCCATCGGAATTGGGTTGCCATCCATACTATAAATAGTATTGTACTATTTTCCGGGTCTGGAGTAATGTACAGTACGCAAAAATACTATATTTCCATTCAAAACACTTTAACAAATAAATTCTTCATTATTAAATTTACGGACGTGACTAATGCGAAATCGTTTTTATATCCAAACACATTTGTTATATTAAAAGTTGTTTTATATGATAAATAGAGTTTAGAAATGGACCGTTGCTTTAAAATAACATTTTTTAATAAATGAAATCTTTGTCAATATAAAAGAACCGTATTGGTTTTCAAAAAGTTTAGATGTATGGCTGTTTGTTACTCAAGCAGGTCAAAATGACTGAAGTTTATTCAGCCATTTAGCCAAAGCTTTGTCTGAAAGGGGCAGAGAAAGACTCTAGAATACCATATAAGCTATTTATATTCCAGATAATTTTAATTTTGTGGGTGTTTGATGGGTTATTCGGAAAACTGGTACTAAATATTTTTCGAGTGTACTATATTATTTAAAGTTCATTTTGAAAAACACTATTTTCACTGAAAATATGTTGGCAACCCTACAACGGTCATATTATCATCATCATCAGTATCGGTATATATTGAGAAGAGGAAATTAATAAATTTTACTTAAAAAGCAGATTAGATTTAGACATTTAATAAAAATTTGAAACTACACAATTAACGTCTATATTTTTATTTCAGTTTCCTTTCTTATGCGTGTCACTTACAAATACGATCATCGATGAATAGCAGTGTGGATTTCTTCGAAAGTTTAATAGACGAAGATGGAAGGTTCGCAGAGCTCAACTGCCAACAGCCCGAGAGGCGACGTAGGAATACAAGATCATTAACTCAAGGTAATTAGCTAGCTTATAAATAGTCCACTTATATAAGAAGGTTGTTTGTGAAACTGCATCCATCTACATTCATTAAATTCCTTAAATCTATTAACTAACTTCCACGTATAATATTTATTTTGTAAATCAAAATTAAACGTCGATTCACGCACGTCATTATGGCGACCTCCGAATCCGAGTGGTTCGCAGGCCGGCTACAAGACAATACCAATCTCTGGTATTGTCTGGTTGTTGTGGTTCCTTCATTGTCTCAGATACTTCATAATACGGCAGCTTTAGATACTCATCTTGGAATCTGATCAATGCGTGATGTTGTTTCATATTTATATATTTTATATTATTATTCACCTTCAATTTTATAATAAAATTAGCCGACACAGCCACGCATTGCTGTAATTAATTTTCTCATTATTTTAATAACAATTAAGATAAAAACTATCCATCTTTAAGGTAATCCAAATGAAGAAGTATAAACAAAAATTAGTTCCCGAAATCAAACTAGATGTCGCTATGGTACTTTCTTGATTTCTCCATGAACATGACTACCCTTCCGGTTTTCTTTCATATATAAAAGTAAATTCTAGAGATAAGCCCACCCTTGTAACAAATTTATTTACTTGTTTTTATGCAAAATTTTAAGTGCAATAAATATTAAACAACTCATATTCTATTTGTACTTCTTCGTATTTGTATTGAACAGAAATGACTATCTTTGGTCCAGTCGTTTCATGTAAAAACCAACTTTTGCTAGAGTCGCTATCTAGTGAGTGCTTTTTTAGAGTTATTTTTTTAAATACTTCCTCATTCCAAATATGTAAAATTTTAGTCAAATCAATTCCGTATTTTATCAATGACATACATCGTGATACTTTTTAATTATTGGCGTTGTCCTTATGGATTGCGCGAGAATCGAATGCTTCGCTCAGTTTATTTCTTAATTTATAGGCTGTAACGTTTCGGAAGTTTGGAACGTACCTGTCAGTGTCAGACACTTGTCATTTGTCACTTCACTTCATTTCCCCTAGAGATGAGACGTACTAGGTTAAACGCGTACTGAGTTTTGCAAGTACGAGTACGCTGAAATACTTATTCCGTAAACCTATTCCACGAGTATTTAGAAGTATGTGTTTTTAAGACTAGTGACATTTTGTTCCAAGACATTGCGACTGCTTGGGGTATGATCCGAAGTCATTGTAGGTTGGGAATTGCACATGAATGAATACTTTGACGGGGAAAAAATACACCTGACGATGGCACAAGCCAAAAAAATTTTTAGCACAAAAAATTGAAATGTGACACTTTGTGGATCGCACTATCTATAGCTACCCTACTATGTTTTGGGTTACATTTGAAAACACATAAAATGGCTCGGTACAATAATTATCCATTGGTTGTTATTATTTGTATCAAGCTTAGTTAACAAAAAACAAAGTAGAGAATTTTATTAAAATTATCAAAGTAAAAAATAAAAACAAAAACATCTAAAGCAGTTAAAGTGGAAAGACTCATTACTAAAATGTTTATTTTATTCGTTTTTAAAAAATGGTGTTATAATGAGTTTTGCTTGTTGATATAAGTTAATTTCATTTAGATATAAAACGTTTTTTTTTACTACAAGTTATTAAATATTAGTACTGTTGTAGTTTTGGACTGACCCAAGTAGAATTCATGCTCAAAATAAATTAAATATATGATAAATAAATAGGTATATTGCATAATGATATATAATAAATATAAGATAATTAGTACATTGTATAATTAAATAAATTGGTTCCAATTTGAGATAACAGATGGTGCTACGCCAGTATGAATCGCGGTATGATTTCATTTCCATACGATATATAAATTTTTGTGATTCTTAACACAAGATTTTTGACTGTTACATTTACTTTGACGGCTAAGGAAACTGATGATTACACAAGCATTTAGTAAGAAAAAATTTAATGTGATTCTTTGTGGTTTGCGCTATCTATACCTACCCTACTATCTTTTCGATTACATTTGTAACCACATATATTGGCTCGGTACAATAATTATTTTACATTGTTTGTTATTGTTAATGTCAACCTTAGTAAGCAAAAAATAAAGTAGCGAATTAAATTAATCAAAGTAAAAAAACAAAACATCTTAAACAGCAGTTAAAGTGGAAAGACACATTTCTCAAATGATAACATACATTTTGTTCACATTAGTTTCTAATAAATGGCGTTATAATTTTGTGTGAATAGCTGTGTTAAGAGTTTTGCTTGTTAATATAAATAAATTTTATTTACATATAAAAAGTTATTTTAACAATTCATTGAGTTATTCAATATTAGTACGGTAATAGTTAATTTTTTTGGACTGACCCATAGAGTATTTATGCTCAACATATATAAAATAGGTATACCATAAATAAATATAATGCATAATAATAAACAATAAATACAACATAACAATATAAGTTAATTAGTACATTGTATAATTAGATAAATTGATTCCGAGTATGAATCGCGGTATGACCTCATTTCTATACGATTTATATAAACTTTAGTGATTTATTTATTAAGGATTTGAATGTTATCGTAAATAAATTGTACGGCTAAAGTTCCGTTTTTTGATAAACCCTCACTCTAGACTACGATTTATTCACACTTAATAAATTAAATAAATATATTAGTCCAAACACCCCAACCCTAACACCATAAAAATTATTATTTTTATTATTACGTGTAAGCATCTATTAAGTACTAGTTTTTACAATGGTAAACAATACGAAATGCCGAAACGACTGATGTAGTTAATCAAATACTCGACAAAGATCCAAGCTAGAAGCAAGATTATAGACTTTATTTACATTTAACACGTGACGGCGTAGGACGTTTACCTAATTACTGTGTAAACAAAAAGCAATTTTATCCCATAACGTTAAGATTGACCCTAGGAATAGGAATTTATTCACTCACACTAAGATCGAACGCGTCCGCGTCTTCGCGTCTCGGACAGCAGAGTTTGTAATTACTGTGTAAACAAAAAGCAATTTTATCACATAACGTTAAGGTTGAACCTAGGAATAGGAATTAATTCACTCACACTAAGATCGAACGCGCTGCGTTTCGCGTCTCGGAGTGCCGAGTTTGTAATTACTATGTAAACAAAAAGCAATTTTATCACATAACGTTAAGGTTGACTCTAGGAATTGGAATTATTTCACTCACACTAAGATCGAACGCGTCCGCGTCTTCGCGTCTCGGAGAGTCCGAGTTTGTATGAGTAAAAGACTTCTAAATACTCGAAACGTGTTGGACGTCTTGAGTCTGCGTCCGCGTCTTCGCGTCTCGGCGTCTCCGAGTTTGTGTGAGTACGAGACTTCTAAGTACTCGAACCGCATTGGACGCCTAAGTCTGCGTCCGCGTTTCCGAGTCTCGGGATTTGTGTGAGTAAATACTTCTAAATACTCGATACGCGTTGATTGCTTATTCGATACTTAGTATTTAGACGTCCAAGCAAAAACTTATTCCAAAGACTTATTCCAGTAAATACGTCTCTCTCCTAATTTCCCCTCCCTGCTGCCGCCCGCCAACCAAAACAAGATGGCTAACTGACACAGTGTTTGTCAGTAAAGGCGTCCGCGGCCCAATGTTTATAGTGAGATTTTAAATTTCTCGAAACTTGACGATAATTATGTCGAATCTGTGTTCAAGAATAGTGTACAAACCACCCAAAAGACTTCCAGAGAATAGGGACAGTATGTCTGTAGCACAAACGAATACCTGGATGAATGGTGAGCATGCAGTAATATTGATTAAATTTCAAAACCTGTTAAATTACGACGTAGATGATGATTTGAAGAGGTAAACATATTCGGGTGCGGTAATTCGTGTTTTTTTATGTCATGGTTAACTTATATTTAGTTATCGTGACCTAAATTGGAGCTATTCGAGTAGCTGTAGATTTGTTTATGTATACATATCTATATCCTTGATTACAGCGGAAAATATCAATAATGGCGGGGGATTGTCTTTGTCTCCGCCTCACACGATATCGCAACGGGAAACAGGCACTCAAGTATCACAATGTTATAGTGGCCCACCATCTCCATGTGGGTCCACAAATTCTGTACCTTCGCCCACAACATCACCTGCGCCGCCTCCTGGGACGGCCACTCTCGATCCCAACTGGCAGGCCACTAAACCCACTGTCCGAGAACGAAATGCTGCTATGTTTAACAATCAACTCATGTCAGATGTCACATTCATAGTTGGTGGACCAGGTACAAACATTACTTATATTAAATTACCATTCTGAAAACTAGTCAATCCAGTTTTATAATGATCATTAATAGAATCGAAATCGAATGTGAATGATCATTATTTGCATAATAAAGTTCGCAGCTTCTCATGTTTAAAATGATGCCCTAAATTTCAGGACACACACAAGTGATACCAGCACACAAATATGTATTAGCTACTGCCAGCTCTGTTTTTTATGCTATGTTTTATGGAGGATTAGCAGAATGTAAACAAGAAATAGAAGTACCTGATGTGGAGCCACAAGCATTCCTCACTTTATTAAAGTTAGTTTAGTTTACACACTTAAAACTAAATTTTATAGAGTACTGCTATTTAATTATTGTTTATTATCTTTTCCAGATATTTATACTGTGATGAAATACAACTAGAGGCTGATACTGTTTTATCAACATTGTATGTTGCAAAGAAGTACATTGTGCCATATCTGGCAAGAGCCTGTGTCAGCTATTTAGAAACTAGTCTTACAGCAAAAAATGCCTGTCTTCTCCTAAGTCAGTCACGTCTATTTGAAGAACCAGATCTGATGCAAAGATGCTGGGAAGTAATAGATGCACAGGTATGTCAGTCGACAGAAAACTTAACTACACTCTGCTTAGATCAATCCTCTTCATACAGTAGCATTCTTATGGAAGTGTCGGGGAACTCCAGTCAAAATCTATCCAGTCCAGAAAGTAGAGATAGTACAGAAAGTCTTTATACCGTTAGCAAATGAAAAAAGCGACAATTGATATGTCTTAGCGACAATATAAGGCACAACAGTATTTACTTGTCAAATCAACAAGTCATTATATTGTGCCACAAATCTTATGTATACTTGTATTGTTTTGGTTGTGATTTTAATTAAGTATATAAAGTTTCTAAAATACTTGTGATTGTACAAATATGTATACAGACCATTGACATTCCAAACTTTAAATGTGAAACTATAACAATTAAAGACATTCCATTTTTTATAAATTGGACACTACTTTCAATCATATTTTCTAGTCAAAACACTGAATTTAGATTTACTGCAATACAGTTTAGAAAGTGTATGCTAGTGTTGATGCTTTTTAATCAATGTCCATAAATTCTATCCATAAATCATTTGTAAAACCTTGTCTTTTGTATATAGATCTGAATAAATTAACTTGACAAATTGTATTGCAGTTTCAATTTACCCCTTAATTTTTTTTATATCTTTTTAGGCAGAGATGGCACTAACCTCTGAAGGGTTTGTTGATATTGATGTTTCCACATTAGAGTCGGTATTAGCAAGGGAAACTCTAAATTGCAAGGAAATTAATCTATTTGAGTCAGCTTTAGCCTGGGCGCACGCAGAGTGCGTGAGACGTGAAATTGAACCGTCTCCAACAAATAAGAGAGCGATGCTTGGAAGTGCCATATACTTAATTAGATTTCCAACTATGTCATTGGAAGAATTCGCAAATAGCGCAGCGCAGCTCGGTATCTTAACACCACAAGAGACAATTGACATATTTCTACACTTCACTGCAGCTGCTAAACCTCAATTAGCCTATCCGATCAAAGCTAGGGCTGGACTAAAGGCACAGGTAATGAGAATAAATTATGAATCTTTAATCAACTTGCAAATAACTTATTTACGTATAGATTAAAATATATATATATTTCAGATTTGTCACAGGTTCCAGTCATGCGCTTACAGAAGCAATCAATGGAGGTACCGCGGGAGATGCGATTCTATACAATTTTGTGTTGATAAAAGAATATTTGTTGTTGGTTTTGGATTGTATGGCTCTTCTAATGGAGCAGCTGATTATAATGTTAAGATAGAATTAAAGCGTTTGGGTAGAGTGTTGGCAGAGAACAATACCAAATTTTTTTCTGATGGATCAAGTAATACATTTCATGTGTACTTTGAGAATCCAATACAGATTGAACCAGAATGTTTTTATACAGCATCTGCTATTTTGGATGGTAGCGAGTTAAGTTATTTTGGCCAAGAAGGTTTGAGTGAAGTTTACATGGGCACAGTCACATTTCAATTCCATTGTTCATCTGAGAGTACTAATGGTACTGGAGTGCAAGGCGGCCAAATACCAGAACTCATATATTATGGACCCACCGTCAATACCACAATGAACAATCCTAATACAAATGAGGACTGACAGTTTACCAGTACTCGACCTATCAATTATTACTCTGTATGAGCCAAAATTGGAAAAAATCTAAATATGATCTTGAGAATCTATATTTACTATAACACAATACTATTCCCATGTAAAAAAGTATGATTTGTTGAAATTATGAAGTGCTTGTGTATATTGTTGAACTTTATTAGAAATTAAGAAAGATAATTTAAGAATGTGATATGGGTGTTGTAAAGCTCTCTAGAAATTTTAGTTGTAGACAGAATGCATAATACAAAATTATTGCAATAAAAACTAAATATCTTATTAATGTTGTTTGATTTTATGTTTGTTATAGATATATCTGCAAACTTAATAATTTACAGACTTCAAAAACCGTTATTGAACAATATAATGAAAAAAAAAACATTGTTTAAATTGGAACAATACAGGATATAAGTTGTTGAGTCTTCTATGTTTATTACTCTATGGTGATCATATTCAAATGCTGGCTTACCTGTTATTAAGTAGTGAAGATTCTTATTTTAAATTCAATTAAACTCTTATGTAGTTACCTAATTTTTTACATATTACTTATTAGTATGTTTACACGTTACTAACTACTTAATTACGATTAAACCAGTCATAACAGGAGCCCAGTGAAACAAATTTTGTTTACACCTCATATAATGTTGATTACATTACAGTTTGGAAGATTCGGTGTGTACATGTGTGTGCTGTTCATATTTTTTTCATTTTGAAATTATTTCTTGATCCACTCACGCCTCCTGAATTCTATCAGCAGAAATCAAACTTTCCTGATTGTAAACTCATAGCAAAGACACACTCATACCAAACAAATAATTCGGCAGGCAAAATGCCTGCTTTGATCCATAATTATTCAGAGTCAATGGTTGATGATGTTATAACACTATTTCGTCACAATAATATGAGTCATTCGATTTGCATCATTTATGATACCCTAATGGTAAATACTCGTAAGACGTCAAAAGTTTCAATGTTTTATGAATTCATGCTACAATGAATTGATATTTTAAAAGTATGAGCTTCTAAAGTGCTATAGTTTAGAAGATCGTAGACCATGGTGCTGCCAGACTGACGTCTGACCATTTTTACTTAATAATCTCTAAAAGTATTTACTATAGTCATTTCTCGCCACTATGCCCCAGACTTGTGAAAAAGGGACCAAAAGAGTGGAAGTACAGATATACCACTGTAGTGCTGACGTCAAAGATAGATTAAGCTGTTGGATTGCATGCAGTGTTTACATATAATTGTCTTTGCATTTACTAAGTTATTTTATAAGATTTACTTTTTCTGTATATTGTATAAATGTATAAGATGTTGGCAAATAAAATAAAAATAAACCAACAGCACTACAAAGACTCTCTTTCTCCAAAACTATATAACTTGGCTATCTGTCCCTATCCTATTTTGTAATTGACTGATAAACAAGGGATGACATAGATAAACACTTCTATTCAAAAATTTCATTCTTTCACCTACTTTGGTTTCCATGTATATGGGATACATATATGCAATCTCTATTAAACAGTTATCTATATGATTACACAACTGTTTATCACTATGCAAAATAAATACTTGAAATAAGTACTTACCTGTCGGTGGTATATTGATACAGAGGGCCCGTGATAACTTAAAGTATGCACGACCCAGTTGGTAACAGCAGATCTGTAGAGCATCACTTATATCTATCAAAAGGTCTGAAATAATTAATCAAAGAAATCATCCACTCAATGAAAATAGTAATATTTTCTAGTTATGATTCAGTTGAAGTTAAACTTTAAAATTATTTCCTACATAGCAAATATTGTTATACCTATGGTGTAATCCATGTATTGTTTTTTATTTATCAATCATATAATTGAATGCAATTTACTTTTACAAAAAACTTGTTAACAAAATAGTAGACTATTTCAGTTTTATTTTGATTTAATGGTAAAATAAAGTATTTAAGATTATTGAAAATATTTAAAAAAATTATTGAATTTTGAGTCAAACATGGCCTTGAACAAAAACAAGTTAAAGAGTTTGTTTTTGTAGATATCTTTATAGTAAGTTGTTTGCAAAGGCTTAGTTTTTTAGCTACTATTTAGTACATACTCTATTAAAAGCAGTTTGTTTAAAAGCACTCTTTACAAAAGACATGTTAATTTGATTACATATTAAAATATCTTGTTCATTTAAATGTTGTTAATATTAGAAATAGTGTTTTAAAATAAAAAAAAAAGATATGCACAAATGCTACATAAGTAAAGGATACGTGAAGTGCCTTCTGTTCTACATGTTATATAAACACATGCAGCTTGTGTGTGACTTGCAGGTCGGCCAATAGTCAGATGTCGTGTTAAAGCCATCTTGAAGAAATTGCATGCTATATCTATACATTGTTGATTAAGACGTAACTGCTGGCATAGGGTTGTTATGCCATCTCTGGCCTTTCTTAGAGTAATCTCTCTGGATTCTTGTCCAATGCCAGCATTGAATGCTGAAAAAAAGCAATTTTACAGGCTGATTAATTTACTCAAGAATTTCTAAATAACGTTAATAACTCAATCCTCAAAAAATGACACTTAATTCAATCATATTGTAGTACACAAAAATATTATTATATTTCTAAGATTAAATATGAAAACAAAATAACGATAAAGTATGAAAAAAATAAGACCACAATATTAAAGCACTCTCTAACTGTGGTCTTATGAAAAGAGCTACAAAATGAATAACATACAAAAAGGGGTTGGTTAATAAGGAAAAAATAATCTCTACAATATTATTCATGGTATTTTGGTTTTAAGTCTGTAAACTCTTTATCTTACCTCGACCAAAACCCGTAGCGCCGCCCTTGGAATCAGCTGAAACGAATTGTCCTATTGCCGAAGCGCCACCGTGTGCAGTTTCCTGGAACTCGACCTCAGCAACGATGATGTTGTCTTCCAGTACTGTACCACAATTAGTACATACAGCATCTCCCCTAGCTGGATCCACTTCAATTTCCGACGATCCACAATGCTTACATTTCTTCCCCGACATGATTCTTAAAGGCACATTAAATGAAAATGTTGATTAACTTTAAAGTTTGTTTTACTACAATATGACATAAAGATATTTCTAGATGAAACCTATTTTATTCTTCATTTATACTTACAAGTAAACAAAATATTTTGAAAAGGTTTTGAGAAGTCGATATCAATTTCCAGTTATTCTACTTCAAAACATTTCTGTGTTTTTGAAACTGAAGAGCATGTATTTAATGTAGTTCTTTGACATCAAAAGTCAAACTTTGTAAGTTTGACTTTTGTCTTCTTTTTTTTAATTAAACGAAGATTTGAATCCATACAGCCCATTTTTATATATTGGCTAAAAGCAGAGGAATTTATTTTTAGAGCCAATTCTAAGATAATCTAAACTTTTATAAAGCCCGGCGTCGTAGCGTCATTTAGAAAGGTGACTAAACCAAATTTAAAGTGCGTTTTATCGAAGTTGCATTTGTTTCATGTGAGTTATACGAGAAGCATCAAGTTGAAACTTGGCTTGGCTTGTATCTTTTATTTAAAATTCCTTTCGGTTATTTTAACACTTTCATATATGAAAAATCAAATTGATGAACAGTTACTGAGATATAAAATAAACATCAATCAAAATATTTTTGGACATGTCTTAAATTATTAATAAAATGTCGCATAAAAGTTCAATAAAAAAAAATTTTTATAACAAAAACTGCACTCGAATGTCCGTAAAATTCCGCTTTTCCTGCTTTTATTACCCCGCAGTATTTGTTTTATATGCTGAAGCTCAGTTGTCAGAAGGTAGCTCAGTTGTAAGCTCAGTTGTCAGTACTCAGATTGTCACAGAAGTCTTGTGCTCTCTGAAACAAAAACCTACGGGAGCTAACTGTTTAGGATGATGATGTGAGCCTCCATTAAGATACCTGTCAGCGTGAGTTGCTTTAAGATACATAAAACTTGGATGATTCGAATGTTATAAGTTATTATAAATCAAACGCTTCTTAGACACACAAATTATGTAATATATAGAATACTGGAACTTTTTTTCTTGTGTTGCTGACCCGCTGAGAATAAATAGATATATTCATTGTACATCTGTGACATATACAATATATTAACTATAAAGAGTGTAATATCTAGGTACATAAATTTCTCTGCATGGTATCTTTATATTATAATTTTATACATTTTTTAGAAAAGATGTGTATTTCTTAGATACTGTGTCTACTATAGAAGATTATGTTAAATGAGGAAGTATTTAAAAAAAACGAAAGCATAAATAAAACACCTCCACTAGATGGCGACTCTAGCAAAAGTTGATTTTTGCAGGAAACGAATGGATCAATTACAATCATTTCCATCCCTTTTACCTAACATATTAAAAAACTGAAATTTGAAAAGTTTGAAACTTAGATATTAATACAAATACGAAAAAGTACAAATAGAATATGATTTGTTTATTGAGTTTTGAAAACTAATTTACTTTTATACTTGAAAGGAAACCGGAAAGGTTGTCATGGAGAAATCAAGAACGTAGCGTAGCAATCTTGTAGCAATAATATCTAGTTTGATTTCGGCATAGAATTAATAAGTACTACGTACAACTAGAATGCTTACTGTGCGTCTAAACATGCGCCGAGTGAGAGGTCATAAATCTTGGTTTGTCCCTTTCTAAGTAGTGTAACCATTCTTACCTGAATACATTGGACATTAAAAGAAAATATTGATTATTGAAATTGAATAATATTAATATGAAGCAGAAAAAAAATCTTATTTAATCTCAACTCAACAATAATAAATTTTGAAACTATGGAAATCAGCAATTTCATAGGCAGCCCTCCCCCCTTCCCCCCCACTGGGGGAAGACCTAATAATAAAACGCAATCAAAATAGTATATTTTATTATGACTGTATTGTTTACATTTTAAAATTAAACATTACTTAACAAAATTGTTTTGTGCAATTTATGGCGTAAAGTAGCGCGAGATGTGCCAATGGCCTTGAATGTGTCTCACTTTGCCATAAGTTGATATTCTTATTATGAGAATCTCATGCCTTTGTTGGATTTATTTTTGTTCAATTGCTGATGAATATTTGGGAAACAGTTTGTTATGACAGATTGTACCTTTTCATAATTTTTACAATTTTCTTTTAAAACTGCTAAAAGTGACTTTAAATTATTAATCTTCATCTTCATGTCTCTTCTTTTGATTTTTGCCTAGTATTAATATCAAGTTTTAACTTCTTACATGAAGGACTTTAGTCAGGCGTATAACTAAAGGCGTTTTACACATTATTTTTTTTTTGTTATCAGGAAAAATCTGTAATGAAATTAGGTAGGTACATAAAAATAAGTTATAATATGAATTGTTGTTTTAACTTATTATTTTCGATATAATGTTGTTTATAAATGAGTGCTTTAATATTAGGTAGGTACCTTTGGCAAGATTGAAGGAATCACTTCTGATTTCAGCCTTTTTCGAGCCTCTGTTCGGTAATCTTTGGTTTTGAAATGAAGTGTACAAACCACACAGCTTTCATGTAAGTTCCCAGGTATCAACCATTTTTTCTTTAACTCTAAATCCGATGGCAAACTGGAAATTTAAACTAAAATGTATATTTTTTATTATAGTAATAATTTGGTTTGGTTTGGTGTGTAAATAGATATTTGCAAAAGATCGATCAAACGATAAGCCTACTGGCCAATAAAATTATTAAAGGATACCCATTTATGAGCCTCCACATGCTTGCTTAATGTAGGTAGACTTGCAAATAGTGAATAACCAAAGTGTTAAGTGATACAACAAGTTTAAATTTAGTACTTAATTAGGCAATAATAGGGTCTATGCTTATAGTACGTACGTACTTTACATCTCTATACATAAAGTATAGTCACCCTAGTTTCTACTGATGACATACTTACCTGTGAAAAGATAATCCACAGCCTGGTACGATTCTTTCCCATACCCACTCACAGCACATATATTGTTTACCATTTTTCAATCTAATATACTATTTAAAGCACTTTTTTAATTCAGAGAGCATTAAAAACAAGTCCATATGACAAAAAAGAAAACGCCATGTTGCTTTTGTGGTGCCACGTGAATACTACAATTTACCTAGTGTTGCATAACGTAAAGGTAATAAAACATGCCTACAATATTGAAATGTCGTGAAATATAAAAACTTTGATTTATCTGGACCTAAAAGCTATTGCATTTATATTATTAGTAAACTTATAAACAAGCCAAATATAATATTCATATAGAAAACGTTTTGTTCTGAGTAAACAGTTTTCACGAATTTACCACCTTTATATCAACAATATTTCACATGGCAATTGTGCGACAGAGACACACCAAGAAAAAAGATGTCTCACTTGAGCTCATTTCTCTATGTAGATAATGGTTATTTAAAAAACACTTTATTCAAAAATCATTAAGGTTCATTTTGATATGTAAAAAAGATCGCAGTTAGCATTCCAGTTGTACGTAGTACTTATTAATTCTATGGATTTCGGGAACAAATTTTTTTTTTTAATACTTCCTCATTTATAACGATAAAAGTCACAAAACAAATACCTATATTAACAACTTAGCAAATAATACTCTATGGTAGGTACCCTCTCTTGGCTCAGACGGCCATGGCTCATTACTTTCATCGTAGAGCTGTAACGTGACGTCATGGAAATGATTGCTTCCTATTGGTTGAATATCACGCTATATTCTATTTTTATTCGCTGACATCATATCCAAATTTTGTGAAGGCCAAATTAAGGATAAGATGTCGTAAAGTAGGCGGTTACAGCTGGCTGTTAAGCCTTTCTTGTTTAAAGCAGCTTAGAAATTCATGTGAAAAGGGCATCCCCAAAGTGACGAAGACGTCATCGCTCGTGCAATTTCAAATGATGACTCATCATTGTTGTTCTCTTTGTGGATAGTCTGATAGAGAGATATTTTGTCTTTTAGTGTCATCTCATCATCTGTGTCTTAAAAGGCGTAGTTTTTTTACATACTTTTTGGGCAGTTATTGCATTGTTTTGATTGTAAATTGATAATCTATAAATCTGTGATAAATAGACTTAAAGTTGTGAACTAGTATTTTTAGTGGTTTTGTGAATTTGGACTAATGACTATGAAGCTGGAAGTAAATGATAATCATTCGAATCACTCGGACTTCTCCTGCGACAGCCAGTCCTCTCAGGGTTCGTCTACCAATGACTTCGTGTCTTCAATACAATCTTCTAGAGCCTTGCTCACGGTAAGATAAGAATAGTTATTCTATATTCCTAAAATTATACAAGGCCAGTGTGTAGAAACGATAAATAAGATAAATAAATATCTTTATATTGAAAACCAGCAAATATTGTGTGCTTTATATTTTGTTGTTATGTATCTATTTATTGTTTGCAAATCATTCTGCAGTTGTCTTTTAGGAAAACTAATTATTATTGTGTGATATAAATAATATTGTTTTTAAACCTCATTTAAAAGTGATGAAAATTGAAGAATAACTCTAAAAGCTTATTTGAAGTATTTTTATTCTTATCTAATGTTAGCCTAATACAATTAAAATGCTACTCTTTTGAATTATTTTATATAACACATACATAGTTTGTTTTTGTTTTGGTCAAACTTGCATTGTGCTATTAACTTTATCATTTAAACCTTAAGAAATGAAATTGGTCAATATGAAATTAAGTTCTTTTATGTTATCATATCAATCGGGTCCAACTTATATGGTATTTTTCAATCCGATCACTAAAGATCAGCAAAAGTGATTTTGGTGTCTCTGCAAGTATAAAAATGATCTATTTTTGGATAATGATATATACTTAAATAGCTGCTATATATTTGTATTAAAATTAACTTGTTTACTATGAAGAAAAATGATTCCTAACCTTTTAAATAAAGTGCGAATTATGTTTACTTAAGTCATTTATAGCATTTGATAAGATCCTTTAAAGTGATAGCAAGTTTCTGATAGTTAGATATCTTTTGTGAATATGTATAACCGTTCATAAAT